TGGAGTTGGTTCTTTGAAAAGGTAGGAAAATTGAGAAACCTTTGGCTAGACAAAAAGAGAAGATAGAGATAAATTCAAAAATATAAGTGAGGACATTGCAACTGACTTGACAGAGATAAAAAGGATTATAAGAGCATACTATGAAAAATTGTATGTCAGTCTAGAAGAAATGGGCAAATTCCTAAAATGTATTAATAACCTAAACTGACTCAAGAAAAGATAGAAAGTCTCAGTAGACTTATAGCAGGTAATGAGACTGAACCAGTAATCAGAAACCTCCAGCAAGAAAAGTCTTGGACCAGATTGCTTCTCTGTGGATTCTACCAAATATTTAAAGAAGAATTGACACCAGTCCTCCTCAAATTAAAAATAATAATAATAATAATTAAACCAAATACTTCTTAATTCATTCAGTGAGGCCAGAATTTCCCTGATACCAAAGCCAGATAAGAATATCACAAGAAAATTACAAACCAGTGTCTTGTGAGTGTAGATGCAAAAATCTTCAACAAAATATTAAAAAATTGAATCTGATATAATATTAAAAGGATTATTCATAGGATCCAAGGGGGATCTATTCCAGGAATGAAAGTGTGGTTCAACATTATTAGAACGAAAGGGGCAGTCACATGACCATCTCAATTGATTCAGTAAAGACATTTGACAAAATCCAACATTCTTTCATAATAAAAACTCTCAGAAGACGAGGGATAGAGGTAAAATTCCTCAACATGATAAAGGGTATTTATGAAAAACCCATAGCTAATATCATACTCAATGGTGAGAGATGAGAAGCTTTCCCCCTAAGATCAGGAAAAGATGCCCAGTTTCACCACTACTATTCAACATTGTACTGGCATTCTAGCTAGAGCGATTAGATAAGAATAAGAAGTAAAAGGCACCAGATTGAAAAGGAAAATGTAAAGCTGTCTCTAGCCATACATGTCATGATCCTGTATGTAGAAAATCTCAAACACTCCACAGGAAAGCTACTAGAGCTAATAAATTCAGCAGAGCTTCAGAATTTAAGGTCAACAGACAAAAATCATCTGTGTTCTATACACCAGCAATGAGCAGTCAGAAAAGGAAATTAAGAAAGCAGTCCCATTCATAAGAGCATCTTGGTAAAATTTATTCCTATTTAAGGTTGGGTGGGGGGAGACTGGATATCCCATGCAAAAGAATGAAATTGGACCTTTACTTAACACCATATACCAAAATTGACTGAAAATGGGTTGAAGACCTAGACTCAAGGGCTGCAACTATAAAACTCTTTAAAGTATTGAGAAAATCTTTATGGCATTGGATTTGGCAAAGTGCTCATGGATATGACACCAAAAGCATAGGAAATAGAAGAAAAAATAGATAAATTAGACTTCGTCAAAATTAAGAATTTTGGTACATTAAAGGATAATATCAAGAAAGTGAAAAGACAGGGTTATTAATAATAACCCCCACAACTTGACAGCAAAAAGATAACATGGCTTGAATAGGTTTTTCTATAAAGATATGCATATGGCCAGGAAGCACATGAAAAGATGCTACACATCATTAGTCATCGGGGAAGTGCAAGTCAAAACTACAAGGTGCCACTTCACACCGACCAGGAAGACACAGCTATTCCACTCCTAGGTATATACCCCAAAGAATTAAAAGCAGGGATTCAGATATTTGTACACCAATGTTCATAACATCATTATCCACAGCACTCAGCAGATGGGAACAACCCCAGTGTCCATTGGCAAATAAATAGCTCCTTGCTGGACAGCCTCTGCAGACAGGCTGGCTGCATCCCTGAGGAAGTCAGTGAGGCGGGTCCTGGGAATGGCCTCAGGAGCGGCTGTCCCCATAGTCCAGCCTCTGTGCACCTGGCCTCAGTGAGAGCCCCCACTCAGAGGGCGGTGGGGAGCGCCACCCAAGCCAGCTCACACCAGCAGCCTTCCTATTTCCACCGCACCTGGCCACCTGGAGGATGGCGACACGAAGCTGGTTCCTATCTTTCAGATCTGGAATTTTCCTCCAGTGATTTCTTCTGTGATATACTTCCTTCCATTCTCTCTGCTGTTATTTGTCACAGAAGTTAGACACCATATTCCAGCCCTGTAATTGTCCTACATTTTCTCTCCTAGTATCTTATGGTGGGAGATTTCATCAGCTTTGTCTCCCGTTCTTTCCGGTCTTTAATTTTGCTGTTTCTAAATTCTGAGAGGTCAAGATATCTCTTTTTTATAGCATACTCTTCGTTGTTTCGTGATTGCAACATTTCTTTTGCATCCCAGGAAATTAATTATACTAGTAGCTTTATTTTGTTTTTTCCTTTCCTTCATAGACTCTTCTTCCAAGTTTCTCTATGTGTTTGTTTTGGTCCTTGTGTTTGTTTTGGTCCTTGTTTTTATTTTAGATTTTTTTTTCCCTACATGGCTGGTAATTCTTGAGGGCAGATTGTGTTAAGGAGTCAGGTATTGAAAAGGCCTTTGGAAGCCTTTGCCCTGGGTGGGACTTTCAGCCATGGGATCCTTGGGGATCCTTGCTCTCCCGATCAGGGAAGAGTCTTCCTGCTCTTCCTGGAGACACCGAGGGAATGACATGGTTAAGAAATTCTGGGGGAGCCCTGAGCGACCACTTGAAACTGGGGTGTGGAAGCAGTACACAAGTTCAGATTTCAGTGCCATTAACTTGGGTGGGAAATAGGAGGGGAGGAGAGCAAGTGTGGAGAAGCTTTAACTTTTGGGTACATTATGGTTGAGGTGCCATGCTGGCTGTGGCTCAGCTTCTGCCGTGTGGCCTGGGACAGAGCACCTGAGAGGTGATGTCACTGCCCCCGAGTCAGTGAGAGGGTGCATCCGTGCACTCGCGGTGTCTCGCACCAGGCAAAGCCGCAGTGAGCACGTGCTGAATGGCATCGGCAGCGGTGGGTGCTTGTCATCAGAGGAGTGCAAGCAGGAGCTGCAACGGGCAGGGCCAGCGTATGTCAGCACGTTGTAGGGACCCAGGCACAGACCCTGGGCACCAGCACCTACCACCTGTGAGAAAGGGGGAATCTATGCAAGAGCCACTCGAGGGGTCTGGAGCGGCCGGTAACACAGTGCCCTGCGTCCTGGGGAGGGGCGTTCAGAAGGAGGGCAGTGGGCAACTTCCAGAGTTGTCGAGGCAGGAATGACCCCCAGAATGTGGAGGATGCTGGCCCTCAGGGCCACGGGAGTCAGCACGTTATAGTAAGCGCTCGGTAGTGGCGTCAGGATGGGTATGGGTGCCTCTGGCTGCAACTGTGAGCTTTGGTTCTAACAACTAGGAAGTCAACAGCGATGGCCACCATTCTCCATTCAGTAAGGCTGTGTCCTCAACTCATTGTAGAATTAGGCAGGATATACATACGTGAAACACTGTCTCCTCTCCCAGACCCACAAGGAAGCTGTGCGTGGGCACGCACACCCCAGCCGCTCTGGCCAGGCCTGCCCTCCTCCCCGTGGGCTGGCTTACAGGATGCGCTAGGCAGGGAGGCTCATGCTGTCACTTGTGTTGCAGGTGGTCCAACTGATGCCCGCCTGCTGGAACAGGACAGACCCTCACGGTCAGAGGAAGAATGTTTTTTTTGTTTTTTTTTTTTGTAATTTTTTATTTATTTGAGACAGAGAGCATGAGAGGGAGGAGGGTCAGAGGGAGAAGCAGACTCCCTGCCGAGCAGGGAGCCCGATGCGGGACTCAATCCCGGGACTCCAGGATCATGACCTGAGCCAAAGGCAGTCGCTTAACCAACTGAGCCACCCAGGCGCCCCAGAGGAAGAATGGTTTTAAAGCGTGGACACAGCCTAAAGCTCTAAACCTCTAAACCTCTTGCTTCTCTCCAACCAAGACATAGGATAAGATAACACAGTATTTTACCCAGTCACGGCGCTCGATACAAATGTGTGAATGAGGTGAACTGGATGTGTTGTGTGTGAACTCCGCTCCACTGTGCCATTTACATTGGCACCGGAGCAGGATCGGCTTCTGGAAACCAGGCAGCCAGGCAAGGCTGAGGGCGTACGGGAAAGCACCTTCCCCTGCCTAGATGCGTTGCTGCGATTCCACTCCAAGCGCAGGGATCATCCCTGATTGCTGCCTGTAAATGTGTAGACCTGCGCAGAGAGAACGGAGAAGCCAGGAACACCTGCGTCAGCCTGGGCTGCAGCAGCTCCCGAGGAGGCAGAGCCTGGCACAGGGTTTGCGCGTCTTCGAGCGGCTGCCCAGGAGTCCCTCATGCTTGAGTTGAAAATGGGAGTTACAGCAAGTTATTTTCTGAGCAGTCCACCCAGGCCTGGGACGCGCAGGCCCGAGTGAAAGTTCACAGTGGTTCTCGGTGTTCACTGGCTCGGGAGTGCTGCATGGGTGAGTGGGAACGGTTTGGGGTTACCATTTTGTTCCAGGGAATATCTCGGGATCACCCATGTGTAAAGGACACGTGCAGGATCTGAGAACAAGCAGCACTTGGAGCCCAGTGACTCATGCAGGACTGGGTCTCGCGGCCCTTGTCACATGCTTGGTTCTGCACACAAAGGAACCTCAGCCACTGGACAGACGGTCTGATTGGGCTTATCCACTCTCCTTTTGTGTTGTGATGCTGATCCGTACCACGAGTTTTTCTGCTATTGGAACGAGAAATGAAGACCCACTTCTTTGCTCCTGTTTTTCATTTGGACCTGTCGTTAAAGTTCTACAACCGGAAAAGCCTCAGGCACCCAGTGATGTCCAGCCAGGTTTCCAGTGGGCTCTGCACCAGCATCTTCACATCAGGGGTTTGCTGAGTTCAGGAGTTAGCAACTGTAAGTCTATGTACACTCTAGGAAAAAAAGTGGTAATTCCCGTGTCCGTCTGCTACTGTTACCCCAAAGCTATTTAAATATGTGAAATGTGCGTTAGAGTCCTTATGCTCAGAGCTCTTTCTTAACACAGCTTTCATCCCAAGATGTCATATAAATAAATGAAATGAGATAATGAAACAAGTTGTGTTGTTTCCCCAGTCCCCACAGCTCCCGGTGCGCTGGCCAGCCCTATGCTCGGGAAGAGAGGTCCGTACGAGACGGGGGCCGGTCAGAATCCTCTTCTCGGGAGCTGCCCCGCCAGTGTCCACAGGAGGGACAGATGCTGGGCGGAGGGCAGAGGGCAGAGGCCCTCCCCGTCCCTGTCACCCTTGGTGAGAGCGCACCCCTTCCTTGAACTTGCAGAGCATCTGGTGTGGCTGAGCCCATGGTGGCGTCCGATGTGCCCCCCTGGCCCACCAGTGGCCGCCTGCCAGGCATCTCCGAAGAGGGACTAGATTTCCAGAGGGACATCTGCCTTACCCATGAATTTGCAGCAAGAATGACTTCGTGTATTATGTAGTTGAAAAGAAACAATGATGGCCAGTGACCATGGTGAGATCTTGGGTAAAGTGTGTATTTATAAAGTACTGAGCTCTTGGATTTTATGAGGCTCAGCACCCAAAGGGCTGGACATGTTCATTTTTTTTCCCCATCCTTTGAACTTTGTGTTTAAAATTTCAAGCTCTTTCGGGCACCTGCCACAACTTAGGAAGAAAAATAAGTCAGTAGCACCAGCATTTCCTGACTGTCACAAAAAAGAAAAAAAAAACCGCAAAAGGAAAAAAAAGCTTGTGTTGTGTGTGTGGTGAGCTCTTGTGTGCTGTTGGAGCCCAGGTGACCGCGTGTCGATTGTGTTCGTTTGTCCATGGCCGTGCGGGAGCTGGGCTTGCAGGCTGGTGGAGGAGAGGGTTCGCCGCCGACCCTCACCTCTGTCCTCGGGAAGCTGCAGTTCCATGTGGGGAGAGGGGAGCCAGGAGCCCTGGTGTTTGTCATCTCCTCCTGTTTGATGCTGAGTGGGTCTCCCTGGGGCACGAGCTGCGTCCACACCATCAGCCTCCCTGTTACTGGAGTAAAAGCTGACGTGTGCCTTTTCCTTGTTGGCTTCTGTAGAGCCTTCAGGAAGAGCTCGAGGACTGGGGGGCTAGCATTTCAGACTTGACCCTGAAATGTGGTCAAGCAGTAAGTTGTTCTCTTTTACCTCATCTTTTTTTTTTTTTAAGATTTTATTTATTTTAGCAAGCTAGAGAGAGAGAGAGAGAGAGCCCATGCACGAGGGTGCAAGAGAAGAGCCAGGGAGAAGAACAAGCAGATTCCCCACTGAGTGTGAAGCCCTTCATTGGGCTCGACCTCACGACCCTGAGATCATGACCTGAGCTGAAACCAAGAGTCGGACGCTCAACTGACTGAGCCCCCCAGGTGCCCCTCTTTTCCCTCCTCTTGAGCCAAGTGCACAAGAAGGTCCTAAATTATTAGAAAGGCTACTCATCCAAATCCCCTTCAGTCTCTGGTGATGCCTGAGGCCTTGGGCCTGTGTCCCTGTCCCCGCAGCGGCCATCCCCACTCGCAGCCATTGATGATCCGGGCAGCCTGTGGGCACAACGCTCTCCCCACCTGCTGACACAGCCCTGGTTTGCAAGCTCCATGTGGTTCTGAAAAGCACTGCAGGAATGTGATTTCTCTCATTATGGCAGCTTTATTAAATTGTTAGATAAAAACTAAAAAGTTAACTCTAACCTTCTCTATTTGGCTGCCATCTGAACTAAAAAGGACAAGAAACAGCCATTCGAAACAGATTGATCTTCACTTGTTTGTGATTTCCCCAGAAGCCCCTTTCAAAGGCCTGGGTAGGCTTAGGTTGGAGACCCTGTGGGACACCTGATGAGTCCTGACGATCCCTCGTGGTGCCCGCGACCAGGCCTGGGTGGGGCTGGCATGCCCCCCCCCCCCAGTGGCCCCTCAGCCAGGAGATAAAGCTGAGGGCAAGCATGACCCGGCCCGCAGGACTTCCAAGGGCACGTTGGGCACTGCTTCACGCTAGGGCACAGACATCCATGTGCCCTTCATCCCAAATGGGGTGTCCCCATTGGGGGCCATCGAATCTTAATAGTTTTCAATGAAACCGAACAGAGTAATCCAGGGAAGGAACGTCGCTGGGAAGATTTGGGTGACTGTAGGTTTTCTCCCTGGCTGTTGGTGCACTTTGTCTTTTCATCCCATTTTGCATGAGACAAATTGAGTACCAGGAGCAGAACTGCCTGAGCTCTGCTGCTGATGCTCATTCAGCCTCTCGGCGTCTCAGCCTCCGATCTGTAAACTCCTATAAAATGGTCTGAGTCACACGCTCTCTTGTCTTGGTCCCTGTAGCTTTAAAGTACAGGAAAAGCAAATAGTTCTATTAAATTAAGCCACCAATCTGTTTATTGAACCGAATGCTTCAAGCCCTTTACGAACAATCTAAATCAAGATGAAAGCCTGTCACATGGGGCGCCTGGGTGGCTCAGTCGTTAAGCGTCTGCCTTCGGCTCAGGTTGTGATCCCAGGGTCCTGGGATCGAGCCCCACATCGGGCTCCCTGCTCAGCGGGGAAGCCTGCTTCTCCCCTCCTCCTCCCCCTGCTTGTGTTCCCTCCCTCGCTATGTCTCTCTCTGTCAAATAAATAAATAAAATCTTAAAAAAAAAAAAAAGAAAGAAAGCCTGTCACGTGTGAGGGGACATTAGGAGAGTCTGAGCCACGGACATAAGCTTGGAACCTTCTTGAGCTGATTCCACCCTCGAGTCCCAGACAGCGGAGCAGGTGACAAGCCACTGTGCTCTTGGGGACAACTGAGTCCGTGAGGAAGGGGGAAGCTGTTCCAAGGAAACAGAGTTGCGGCGGCTGAGGGGCATCTGGAAGGAGCGGGGCCGGTTAGGGTTAAGTTTTATTTTGTTCTGAAAACGTTTCCCGAAGAGTCAGACTCTTATGTTGTCCTCACAAACCTTCTTCCCTCGCTTTTTTTTTTTTTTGCACATTTCCTTCTCGCAGTTTGACCTTCCTGAGTCTGAAAGCTGACTTGAGACGGTTTACCTCGGCTCTGGAGGTTCGGCCGGCAGCCCCCACGAGAGTGTTGGTGGCACATTATGGTGAGCAGGCTGTGGGACACGTATTCCCAAGCCCGAGTGTGTAGATGTCTCAGTAGTGACTTTCTTGACCCGTTTGGGTCATGAATGGTGCCCTTCACAGAGGGGCAGCGATCACTGTGCCACAAACCTCCCCAGCCACGTGGACTCTGCCAAATGTGTAAGGACAGAAATTAGTCGTGGAAACCATGGCTTTTTACCCAGAAGCCACATTACTCTTTCAGGAGCAGTTCGCACTCTTTCTGGTCTTAGATCCCTTCCCACTTAAAAATTATTGAGGATTCCTTTTTACTGTATTGAAAATTTTAAGTGAGAGAAGTTTTAAATATGTATTTATTTAAAAATAACAGTATACCAACTACGGATTAACACTTTTTATTCAAAAAGCCCTTATTTCCCCCTGCAAAAAAAACTAGAAGAGTAGCCTTGTATTACTTTTGCAGATCTGTTTAATGTCTGGGTTTATTAAAGACGGCCAGACCCTCAGGCATGCCTCTGCGTTCATCTGTCGTGGCTGGAGTACAGAGGAAGAGCCCTGCTCACAGGCCTTCAGACGGAAGGGACGGAGCTACTCCCAGAGATGTGCGGATGCTCTGTCTGCGCCTCACAGCTCAGCAGGTGCAGTGCCGGATCGGAAGGCTCGTCGAACACGGGCATCTCCCCGCTCTTGGGTTCCCCTCCCTTGGTCTGTCTTGCACCGGGGAAGGGTTTTTCCCCTGCACAGTTGTGGGACACGCTTCGGTCACTTGGGCAGCCCTGTTGTCCAGCGGAGCCATGCGGGTCTTGTAAACGCTCCTCGTGGGCGATCAGAGGTTAGCCGCATTCGTACCAGTGCAGATGTGTAAACTCTGTTGTGACAGACACGAGCTGAAAGTAGCGAGTAGGTCTGCAGACCCTGCCGCACTAAGGCCTCGCCCATAAGCGGGGGAAGAGGACACTGGCATCCTTTGTGCGCCGAGGTTGCGGTGGAGGCAGAGATGCCTGATCCCAGGAACAGCCTTGGGAACCAGAAGGAAGGGGGGATTGGGCAGAGGTGCCCAGGAGCCTCGGGATGACGTGGAGGAGGCTGGGGAGCCCCGTGTGTGCCAACGGTCGCTCTCTGGGCTGCAGTCCTGGCATGGCGTCTGCCTGAGGGACTGCTGTGTCCGGGTCCGGCCACCCAGAGTGTGCTCTGGAGTTGGGCGGCTGGGACAGGCCCACCCTAGCCGGGGGGGGGCAGAACATGCTTAGCCGAAACTGAACGGAGGAAGGGTGGCACGTGCCGTGACCTGGCGGTCGGGCCACGAGGAGGGCGGCGCACAGGGAAGAGCGGAGGCAGGACCTGACCCTCGCGCCTCCGATGCCCACAGGGTCTGGGCTGGACTGTGCACTCCTGCGGTGTGGGAGGGGCTGTCCTCGCGACAGGAGGGGCAGGCTGGGAGGAGCCGGGTTGGAGGTGAACAGGCTGGTGGTCGCCACAGAGAGTCCCGCCGGTTCCTGAGCTCGCTCAGAAACCGGGCGGGCATCCGCTGCTGTGTCCAGAGGCTGGGAAGACACTTGCCTTTGAAAGCCTGCAGTCAGGTTGTCTGCATCAGCCACGCACGTTCCTTGCGTCTGCTGTGGTGCAGCAGGGCTTTCGATAAATTATTACAGATCTTGTCTACTCAGAACGTGATTTTTGGGGTTGTGACGCTGACTAGCAGTTTGGATTTGAGTCTGCAAGGCGTCCAGGTTCTATCAGGGCGTCTCCCCTCCGTGCAGACGGCCTCTGCCAGGTGAGCGTCCCCCCTGCGGGACATGGTCAGAGCAGCCCAGGGCCCCCCAGGTGACGGAGGAATGGAAAGCACCAGAACCGAGAGCAAGGAGGGGGGGAAGAGCAGATGTCAAGTCGCAACGGGAGGAAGCCTCAGTTGTAAAAATCATAGAAATGAAAAATAAAATGAACTTTAATTTTTTCTGAAAAGGCAGCCATCCTGTGGGGATGTTTCCTTCACTTTCTTTGTTTTTCTCTTTGCCCTCATGGCTACGTTGGGGTGGAACATGCCACCATCCAAACTCAGACCTTTGATGGACCCTAAAAAGGGTCAAATTAAGATCCTAAAATGTGAGGGATTCAGAGGCGGTTGATTCAAAACCGTAGCCAACTTCAAACATTTATACAGATAAAAAAATTCATCTTTGAAGAAGCAGATCAGTGCTGATGACCTAACCCTAACTCCTGCTCACTGCGTGTTTCGGGAGACCTCGCCCTCGGGCAGGGCTGAAAGCCAGGGTCCAGACCCAGTGATGGAGCCATGGCCGTTCCCCTGGTGGTTGGGGGGCAGCGAGCACAGGGCCCAGTGCGCGGGGATCAGCCTGCATGACGTGTATGGGTCGCTGAGGACGACGGGCCCACTGCAGCGCCCCTGGTGTGGGGTTAGCCTCCACGTGGGACTGTGTGGGACTGGATGTGCACGTGTGTGTGCGGGCAGATGGGCAGCAGGTGCTTGGGCTTCCAGGGTTCTGGGACACACTCCAGCCGCCAGCACGGTGAGCCAGGGCTTCTCCTGCCTCATGGAGACACCTTCCCTCCCCACACACTGCTGACTTCAAGCATTTTGTGTAAATCACTTTTACTAGCAGTTAATTTTGGTAAACCGGCTGTTTTGTTTTTTTTTTTACAAACTCTAATAACGAAAACAAACCAATAAAAAGCAAGAATATGCTTTTAAATGTAAGAGTTTACTAAATGTCATGTAGCTTAACAATATCGATGGGGCTTTCAGACACGGAAGTTGGCTCGAGGCCCCTGATTCCCTAACCCTGTTTTGAGCTCACTTGCGCTCCCTCTGTCTCCGTCTCTCTGTCTCTCTCTCCCTCTGTGTCTTTCTCTGTCTCCCTCTCTGTGTCTGTGTCTCTGTCGCTCCAGGGACCATAGATTG